TCTACATGGTGTAAGTAGAGAAACAATTCCCACAGGTTGTCTTCTGGCATATGTACTCCTCATAATTTTTAAATATTTAAATGAATCAATTACCTATTTGTTCCTTGATTCCAGATCTCCAGCACATGAAGCTAGAAGTTCTCATGTTTCACCAACAGACTGGCATCTTCACTGTTCTTTCTGTCTGGCAAATTCCCATGCACTTCTTTTTTTAAAATTAGTTTATTTACTTTTATAAGCATTGGCATTTTGCCTGCATGTGTGCCTGTGTGAGGATATCAGATCCCTTGTTGCTAGAGGTACAGACAGTTGTGAGCTGCCATGTGGGTGCTGGGAATTGAACCTGGGTCCTCTGGAAGATCAGCCAATGTTCTTAACTTCTGAGCCATCTCTCCAGCCCCATCCTGTGTACTTCTTAAACAAGGGTGCTATTTGCATGGATGTTGGTAGAATATAGGGAAACTATACGGGATAGGTATGTAGACTGGACTCCAAGGCTAATGTCCAGAACTCAGTTCAACAAGCTGGACCAGATCAGAGGGACAGTTGTATAGAGTGGCCTCAGGGTAGGCTGTGTGGCCTAGGTCCTTGCAGTGTGAGGAGAGGTGGGATAAAGCCCAGTTCCACTCTCCTTCCTTCTACTCCCTGCCAGCGCATTCTGCTTGAGAAGCAGCTAGCCTCTAGCCGGAAGCAGAGAGCAAGGGCAGGTCTGTGCAGTCCACAGAAGCTGGGGCTCCCGGTTCCTGCAGTGTAGGGCAAGGTGAAGAGCAGCAGAGGGGAAGCATGGATCGGCTGGCTGATGGAAGTGTTCAGCTCTTACTATCCAGTGTTATAGCCCAGCTACCTCTTCCTCGTTCATATATTGAAATTCTAGCCTCAACTCCATGAGCATGTGACTGCATTTGGAGACAGTCTCTAAAACAGCAATGCAGTTGAAATGAGTACGTAAGGGTGAACCTTAATCCAATATGACTGGTGTCCTCATACGAGGTTAAAGCACACATATCTTTGTTCACAGAGCAAAGAGCATGTGAAGATGAAGGGAGAAGGCAGACATCTACGAGGTAAAGAACCACATTACAAAAATACCCAGCCCACCTGTCAGGGTGCATCAGGTAGCGTGGATCTGTTGAAGAAGGAAGACATTCTAAGATGAGATTTTAAGGCCTATGTGGCGGCAGGAAGGTTCATCCTCAGGTCTTGTAGCCCAAGTTATGGGATAGCTACAATGCCCCTTCAGCAAAACAATCACCGTTTCCCACAAGAATTCTTCAAGGTCAAAGCACCTCTAAAAAAACAGCTGTTCATTCTAATAGTTATCCTCATGCAGTGATCCCACTAAATTCCTACAACACCCAACCAATGTGATGGTATGCACTTGTAATACCATTATTGAGGAGGCTGAGGCCAGAGAATTTCAGAGAGTTTGAGTTCAGCCTGGGCTACAGAGTGACTTTAAAGCCACTCTGTACATTGTCTCCTCCCAGCCTTAAGAAAGGGACTTTTGTAGCCTAGCTCAGCTTCAAAGTTCCCTTGTTGGGGAGGATGACCTTCAACTTTGGACTCTCTTGCTTCTGCCTCTGGAGACCTGGGATGACCCATGTGATCATCATGTCCTGTTTTATTTGACGCTGGGTTTTGTGAATACCACACAAGCACTCTACCGACTGAGTTGTATCCTTAGACTGATAGCCCATCTCAATAAACCATGATCTGGGCACAGTGGTACATGCCTTCAATGGCAGCACTTGGGAGGCAGATGCAGGTAGATTTCTGTAGTTCAAGGTCAGCTGTGTCTGCATGGTAAGTTCCAAGCCAGCCAGGGTACGTAGTGAGACCTTTCTAGAAGCAAACAAGAAGCAAGGGGCTGAAGCGATGCTTCAGCAGATCTTGTAGGATCAGGCAAGAGCTTGTGTTTAAGTGCTAGTGGAAAGAGTGGATCACTTATCGAGGGGAAACAATTTCAGGTCTGGTACAAGCCTGTGGTCCCAGCTACTGTAAGGCTAAGGCAGAAGGATCAAGGGTAGCCTGGGCAACTTAGTGGGATTATGTCTCAAATAAAACGTGAGGAGGGTGCGAGTGTGTATAACCTGGGGGTAGAGTGCTTGCATGTGAGACACCAGGTTCAGCTCCCTCCCCATGAGGCCATGTCATCAAAGACTGCACTCCCAGGTGGCCATCACAACAGGGACACTATAACCATCATGGGACAGTTGCTGGCCAGCACTTACTGTGTACCCTGTCCCTTTCAGCCGACTCTAGAAGACACAAACCGCTCTTTCTGTTCCCAGCTACCCAACAGCTTCATCCTGGGTTATGAGCAAACGTGTCTTGGGTGTGAGTTTCCAATCAGTCATGTCCCCACACCCCCAAGTACTCCTCTTTGCCCACCGATATTCTGTTCTTTCTGTTGCAGAAGGGTTAAACGTGACAATGGGAGGGGAATTTCAAAGGTTCAAGATGATCACTCCAGGATAATTTAGAGAGAAAAGTCCCCCACTTTGTAATTCTTCTTTATGTCTTCGACTTTCCTCCATGAACCTGGAATAAACCTTTCTAATGCTTTTGCAGTATAGACTGGGATAGCTTACAGGGGCAGGCCTTCGAGGGAGAAGGGAAGTATGTCTGCAGACTAGGCCGCTAGATAGCTCTTACACAGGCAGAATTAGAAAGTTGTTGAGGTCTGGGAAGGATATATTTAGCTAGGAGCATGTTTACTCCCCAGAGCTGACTCCCCTAGACCTCAGGGACCTAGGACCTGGGAGTTCTTCACAGCTGGCCAAGGGGCCAGAGTCCTTTTTCCTTTCCTTTCCTTTCCTTTCCTTTCCTTTCCTTTCCTTTCCTTTCCTTTCCTTTCCTTTCCTTTCCTTTCCTTCCCTTCCCTTCCCTTCCCTTTCCTTTTTAGGTTAAACACATAGTATAATGTCTTGGTTTATAGGCTGTGTGTGTGTGTGTGTGTGTGTGTGTGTGTGTGTGTGTGTGTGTGTGTGTGTAGGTACAGGCTGGTGCCCAGGAACTCCAGAGTCATCAGGTCTCCGTGGATTGGGAGTAACAGGTTGTTGTGATGCTGGGAACTGATTGAACTCAGGTCCTCTGTAAGAGTAATACATGCACTTAACTGATCCGACTCAACTCCAGCCCCCGGGCTAGAGTTTTGAGGCAGGAGTGATGCCCATCTCTCAGCTCAGGCCTTAGGTCACTGCATCTCTAGGTGCTAAGGACAGTTTCATCACAGTCTTTCTGCTCCCCAGTCGCATTAGGCTAGTTAAGGTAACACTGTGAAAGTGCCCAGGTTGGGCTTCAATCCGCTGCATATCAGACAAAGGTAATTAAGTTCCTACGGCTTTGCTTTCCCATCCATAATGAGGATGGTAATAGCTACGCTGTGGGTAGGCTGAGTTATCTCTGAGATAACATAAACAAGCCACAACTACCCTGAAAACATTCCCCACCTTCCCTTCAGAGACCTCCCTTAGAGTGGGAGGATTTCCAGATGACCTCATGCTTTTTCCTGAGGACAAAGGAAGATAATGGGCTCCTGGGAGACCTGGTGTGTGATTCTAAACATTCATTGGGTCAAAAAGTTTACATATGAATACAAACCCTTTACAAGGCAAAATAAGGAGAGAAAACCACCTCTGAATTCACCCTTGTATTTTTGTCCTGCGTATAACTGAAGTCCACAGCCCCTTATCCTTTGGCACAAATTTTATCCTCATACAAACACTGGCCCATGTGGATGGTTTTCTTTTTTCCCTCTTACGGGTTGTGCCACTCAAGTGATGTAGTTTTGTTTGTTTATTTTTTTTTCATTTAACCACAAGCCATGGACTCTAATCTAGGTAGTTAACTGATGGACCTAGTTTGTTCATTTTAATAGGTGTTTAACGTTTCATAGAATGCATGAACTCTAATTTTCCAGGCACTTTGTTTGTTTGTTTGTTTGTTTTGAGATAGCCCTGGCTACCCTAACCTCGAACTCAGAGATCCTCCGCATCTCAAGTGCAATGATTAAAGGCATGCGCGCACCACAGCCCGGCCATTTGACGAATTTTAATTAGTTAATTATATGTGTATGGATATTTTGCCTGCATGTATGCCTGAGCCTGGTGCCTGCAGAGGTCAAAAGAGGATATCGAATTCCCCGGAAATGGGAGTTACAGGTGAGTTATTATGTGAGTGCTGGAAATCTGAATAGCAGTCAGTGCTCTTAACTGTTGAGCTTTCTCCAGCCCGATGGATTTTTTTTCTTTTTTAATCTTGTAACTACAATCAACAATGATAACCCTTGCACAAATACCCTGATGAAATAAATGCCTTAATTTCTATGGAGTGCTTCTCCTGATCTAAGGCACCCATCCCTCCAAAACCCATACTTTGAACGGCTGGACGCGGACAGGCTACTTTCCCCCCAGATTTTAGTTTCCTCCTCTGAACGCTTTAGCTCTGAACGTTTTTCACTTTTTAAACTCCAGAGCCGGCGGGCGGGCAAGTGACGCCTCCAGCGGAGGAAGCGCTGCTTGCAGGCAGCTTTCCACTGAGCGTGAAAGCAGATTGCCCCAGCGAGCCCCGTTTAAGGAAGAAGGCCTGGACGCTCGTGTCACCCGGGAAATTGACTTCGCCCCTCTTTGGGTCTCAGTTTCCTTCTGCTTAGCCTGACTGGCCAAGATTAGGCCTAATCGAGCCTGAAGCTGGTGGCCTCAAATGTCAAGATTGGATGGCTGCCCCGACTGTAGGATGTGCCTAATCTCCGCGAGCCCCATTGCGTTCCCCCAACACTGCCCGGTCTGCGGGAGTGGAGGAAGCTTCCTAAAGTCAGAAAGAAGAAAGCAAGCGCCCCACTCAATCTTTGCCCAGAACCAGTCATTTACTGCTCCTGCGTTTAGCTTTGGCGCACTCCCGCCCTTTTGGCTCGGCTATCGATTGCTCCTGTCTGAGTCCCCCCCCCCTCGCGCTCCTGCTCAGCCCGTCGTTTGCTTCTGCCTGGCTCCGCCCTCCGGATGGCGCTGAGACGCGAGTGCGATCCTCGGCTCGGCCAGCAGCTTGTTCCCCCTTCGCTTGTTTGCTTCCGCTTCCGGTAACTGCTGGCGGCTTTCTGCCCTCGGTGGCCATGGCGGGGAGCCGGCTGGAGACAATTGGGAGCGTGTTTACCCGGTGCGTGAGTGAGCAGGCTTCCCAGCGGGTCTCGACCCTCCTGGTGTGGCCGGAGCGGGACGCGGTTGCGGGTGTTCCGGCCTTGAGGAGCCCTCGCGCTCCCTCCTGGCACGGAATGTTTGTCGGTGTCCCCTTATCCGTCACTTTAAAGGTCGTGTTTGCCACCCCTCCTCGGTGGAGACCTAGAATGGAGAAGAGGCTGGAGGGCTTGACTGGGCAGTCTTTGCGTTTCCGCCGTGGATCGGTGGGTGGGCTGGGGGTTGGGATACGGCAAGAAGATAAAGAGTGGCTTGGGTTGAGTGTGGTACTCCGAGCACTTGGGAGGCGAAGCGTGACGATCGCCACTAGACCGAGGCCAGCCTGGGTTACGTAGCGAAATTCAGGCCAGTCAGGCTGCTGGTGGACTTTTGTCGAAACAAAATGACAGCCTAGCATGAGTACGCTGCTATTCTCGCACTGGAGGAGTTCAGGGAGTCACTAAGTTCAAGGTTATCCTCGACTTCATGCTGAGTTTAAGGCTATCCTAGGCTACGTGAGACGTAACACTTTGGTTTTCCTAGGTTGCTGTGAGATGTGGGAGGTCCTGCTCAGCTCACCCACCTGTGCTGTGCGGTGCCCAGCTGCTCTGGCCTGCCTTTAGGGACTTTAGCAAGCTGCTGTAACTGACTGACCTTGGTTCTCTTCCCTCTCTAAGGACGAGGAATCTGATGTGTGCTGGAGTGTTGAAGGAGAAGCCGCTGTGGTATGACGTATATGAGGCCTTTCCGCCGCTGCGAGAGCCTGTCTTCCGAAGGCCCCGTTTGCGATATGGCAAAGCCAAAGCCGACATCCAGGACATCTTTTACCGGGAGGATCAGATTCGAGCGTGAGTGGCTGTCTCCTGTAGTGAGCATGACACAACAGACCTTCAGAAAGGAAGGTTTGTGTAGAAGTCTGCCAACGAGCTGACAGGGCCATGCTCTGTGGAGTTGGTCTTGTATAGCAAGTAAAATAATGGTATCTCACCCCTCCCCTGTCGTGAGAGCTAACAGGAGTGTGTGTTGGTTAGCTGGTTTGTTTGCTTGAGACAGGATTTGTCTGTGTAGCCCTGGCTGGCCTGAATTTTACTCTGTAGACCAGGCTGACCTCGAACTCAGAGATCCATCTGCCTCTGCCTCCTGAGTGCCGGGACTTGAAGCACGTGTCACCATCGCCCGGTGGAAACAGAAGTTCTAAGACGTGGAATCTGGAGCCCCCAGACTGACAGAACATTGCAGCTAAAGTTGTCTGTTGTTTACTGGCAGTCTTTTTTTGAGTGAGGTACCATGCTAAGCCCTTCACAAACATCAACTCATACAGTTTAACCCTGTCAAAGCAGGCAGTTAATCATTGCTTCTGTTCTATTCAAGAGACTATGAGGCGCAAGAGGGTAACTGCCTGTGTGCACAGGAGGGTGGCAGATCTGGGAAATCACATCTGATTCCAAGCTTAAGTTGGCTGTCATATCTGCTTCTTTGGAAGGATCATGGTCTGTGGATTTAACGTCTAACAATCACTGAAGCCACCCAGGAAAGGATGCTTAGGAGTGCAAAGCACTTAAAGTAATCATCACCAGAAGCTTGAAGAAAGTGCTGGCCTACTTTATTTCTTAGCATCTATTTCTTCTTTTTTTCCTCTTGAGACATGGGACCTTCCTGCCTGTGGAGTCCTGTCATTACAGGGCTATATCACCTTGTCTGGCATATTAATACATACTGGTTATAGAAAACTGACAAAGGAAAGCGTAAAGGAGAGAGAACGGATCACTCATCGCCAACTTTTGAGGTAGAGGTTTGAAGGCAGCTCCTAGACTTTAGCTTTGTCACTTTGGAAACATTGTCCCTGTAATCTTGTAAAAGTGAAGGAGGGTGCTGTTTAAAGAGTTTTGTTTTTCAGTGTTTCAAGACTGGGTTTCTCTCTGTAGCCCTGGCTGTCCTGGAACTCTATAAACCAGCCTGGCCTCTAACTCAGAGATCCACCTGCCTCTGCCTCCTGACATTTTGTTGTTTTAAGATTTATTTTTATTTTTAATTATATGTCTCTGTGTGTACGTGACTGACGGTGCCCCTGGAGACCAGAGGTGGTTGTTGATTGTTTCTTACGCTTTTGCTCTTTTGGGGGTGCCTGTCACCCAGTTCCCAAATAATCACACATGGAGACTTTTTCTTATTCATTCATTTATTTATTCACTTATTCATTTTGGGTTTTTGAGACAGGGTTTCTCTGTAGTTTTGGAGCCTGTCTTGGAATTCACTCTGTAGACCAGGCTGATTTGGAACTCATAGAGATCCTCCTGTCTCTGCCTCCCAAGTGCTGAGCTGAGATTAGAGGTGTGCACCACCGCTGCCCAACTCGCTTGACTTGTTTCTAGCCAGCATTTTTTGTTTTTGTTTTTGTTTTTTTGAGACAGGGTTTCTCTGGTTTTGGAGTGCTGGGATTAAAGGCATGAGCCACTACCACCTAGCTCTCTAGCCAGCTTCTCTTAAATTATCCCATCTACCTTTTGTCTCTGGGCTTTTTCTTACTTCTGTATATCTTATTTTCCGTCTTACTCCATGGGTGACTGACTCCTGGTGTCCTCCTTTCCCTGCTCTCTCTTCATCCTCCCTCCAGATTTCTCCTATTTATTCTCCCTGCCTGCCTTCCCTGCCTGTCCTTTCTCCTGCCTCGTTATTTGCTGTGCAGCTGTTTATTGACCATCAGGTGTTTTAGACAGGCAAAGTAACACAGCTTCACAGAGTTAAAGAAATGCAACGTAAAAGAATGCAACACATCTTTGCATCATTAAACAAATGTTCCACAGCATAGTCAAATTTAACCCATCTTACAATAATATTCTACAAGAGGTCTTGCAGTTTTGTTAAAATATTTATTTTTATTTTATGTGTGTAAGAGTTTTGCCTGTGTGTTTATCTGTGTGCTGTGTGTGTTCACTGCTGGAGGAGGCTGGAAGAAGGGGTCAGAAACCCTGAAGTTGGAGTTAGGGTCAGTTGTGAAGCTCCTGTCCTGGGTGCTGGGAATTGAACCCAGGTCCTCTGGAAGAGCTCTTAACTATTGAGGCATCTCTCTAGCTCTACAATGTCTTTCTTTTTTCTTTCTTTCTTTTTTTTTTTTTTTTTTTTTTTTTTTGGTTTTTTTTGAGACAGGGTTTCTCTGTATTGTTTTGGAGGCTGTCCTGGAACTCACTCTGTAGACCAGGCTGGCCTCGAACTCACAGAGATCCGCCTGCCTCTGCCTCCCGAGTGCTGGGATTAAAGGCGTGCGCCACCAACGCCCGGCTTCACAATGTCTTTCTTAGTGTGTAGAAGTTGTTTATTTCATTTTACAAGTTTTCTGTTGTGCCCCCTGTCAAACCCTGTTCTACATGTGTTAGGTACTAAGTTATATAGCATTCACATCTGCCAGCTTTAGTTTTTGTTGGCCTGGTTACCTTTCTGTTTAGAGTGTTTAGGGATGTTCTTTTCAGCAAATGTAACTATCTTACATATTTATTTTTAGCCCAGGATGATGTTAAACTTACAGTCTTTTTGCCTCTACCACCTGACTTTTGGGATTCCAAGTATGTGATACCACACTTGAAGTTTTTTGTTATTGTTGGGTTTTTTAAAATGTAATTTGCTACATTTATTTCCCCATTTAGTATGTGTGCACCTGTGCACATGTATGTGGACATGCATGTGGGGTCAGAGGACAGCTTGTGGTAGTTGGTTTCCTCCTTTTACCATTTGAGTCCCAAGAATCCAACTCATGTCCTCTGGCCGAGGGGCAAGCACTTTTTTCTCACTGAGCCATTTGCTGGTCCCAGGCCTACCTTTTTTTGAGTTACTTTTAAAGTACTAATTAGGTGTTGTTGAAACAAATAAAAATGTGTTCTTTAATTTGCTTTCTACACCTTCTAACCTAAATAATGTTGGAAAACAGGCTTCTAATATCCTTAAGCCTCTTTTTCTTTTAAATAATAAAGAAAAATTCAGATGTCACACCCTAGCGGGGCATGATGACTCACATGTGTAATCCCAGCACCTGGCAGGTAAGGCAGGTGGGTCAAGAGTTTGAGGTCAGCCTGAGCTACATAGTGAAACTTGTTTCAGACAACTAAGCTGTGTCTGTGATAGAGCTCTCGCTCACCTGCTCACTTCAGTGTGTTTGGCCTTGGGTTCTTCAGTCGCTGGTTCCGTTTCTCTGACACCTCCACCCTAAAAAAGACCTACCATGGGCCATGTGCTGTCCTACTCGTTGCTTTCATCTCAATGTCTCGTCCAGTTCATGGCTGGCTGTTCTTACCCTCTGTTGAAGAAACAACGGCTTCCTGCTTGGGTGAAACCACTGGGCTGGCAGGGGAAGACATGAAGAGGGAGGATGGGGGGGTTAAGAGTTAACTAGGTTTTTCTTGTTCTGGTTTTGAGATGGGTTGCTCCAGCGGAGGCCGAGCTGATGTCAGTTCTCGGCCAATTCTTACTTCAGCCTCCGCAGTGTGGGATCACAGACATGAGCTGCTACACCCTGCTCCATAGCACTTCCTGAGGGAGCAGGACAAGGGTGTTCTTGCTCCCGAGACTTTCCAAGCATGTCTGCTCGGGTTCGCTGCGTATATTTGGTTAGGCTACTCCTTTGAGTCACTTACACATTGCCTCTTTGTGCTTTGCTGTGCTAGGAGGGAACTCAGGTTCTCGTTCATACCGGGAAACACTAGGCCAGTGAGCCACCGCAGACCTTTTTGGTGGCTTGCTTTGGTTTTGAGACTCACTGTGATTCCTGGGTGGGTGGGACTTGCTGTGTAGATCAAGCTGGCTTTGAACTTGGAGATATCTCCCACCTCTGAAGAGTGCTGTATTCTTGCTATGTCCTTACTTGGGAAGGAACAGAAAGGAAAACGCCTTCTGTCTTTTCCTAAGGGCACCAGTGCTGCTTTATTTAAGGCTGTACGAATGACCTGATGAAATTCCAAAGCTACCAACTCTACTTTTACACCTTGGGTTTTCCACAAAGGAGTTTTTAGCTCATAGCAACCACTATATAGGAAAATGGACAACGACCATCAATAGTGTACAGGAAAGTAATCCAGTCTGCTGTCAAACTTGAAAAGATGTCTAATGGTGTTCTTTTTCTCTTTTGGGGCATGATTGATGGAGCTGAAATTATAATTTCTAGTCTATCAATTTGGCAAGGGGCTTGAAACAGAAAAATGGACACTTGTTTTTTGTTTTTTATTAAAGACTTATTTATTCATTATGTATATAGTATTCTGTCTGCATGTATGTCCACAGGCCAGAAGAGGGCACCAGATCTCATTAAAGATTGTTGTGAGTCACTTGTTGTGAGTCACTATGTGGTTGCTGGGAATTGAACTCAGGACCTCCGGAAGAGCAGCCAGTGCTCTTAAATGCTGAGCCATCTCTCCAGCCCCCCGAGAATGGACACTTGTGTATTATAGAATTTACCTGAGTATAAATTTGGCACAGGTGCTTTAAGAAGCACTTGGGTAGTTTGGAAGGTTGGTTTTTGTTTTGTTTCGTTTTTAAACAGATAAATACTTAGCTTTATCTCACAGTACCATTTTTGTGGATTTATTCCATGGACTTACTTGTACAGTACACTGGGCAGCACAGGTGTTCCTGCAACAGACTTGATGGCAAAGGATTAGAAATAGTCTCTGCACCGATTTAAGATAACCTCTAAGAGCACAAGATATGGGGTGAAGGTGTGAGTGCTTAGTGATACTGGACCTCTGGGGGATCATGGGAGTGTTTTAGAGGGCCAGCAAGGTGGCTCAGTGGGTAAAGGCACTTGCTGCCAAACCTTATGGCCTGAGTTCAAGACCCAGAATCCACATGGTGGAAGGAGAAAATCTACTCCCTCAAGTTGTCCTCTGACCCCACTCATGTGTTGTGACATGTACCACTTACACTAAGTAAACAAATATTCACAACTTTAAAATGTTCTGGAACTATCGTGGTGATAGTTGTGTAGTTGATTGCACTAAACGTCACTGGTACCCTTAAGGGTTTTTAATTTTTTTATTGTATTAAGGTGGAGATGTGCATGTATGTATGCACATGTTTTGAGTACGTACCAAAGCATGCATGTAGAAGTCAGAGGACAACTTAACAGGACAGGAGTCCTCTCCTTCCACCATGTGGGTTCTAGGGATCAAAGTCAGGTTAGGTTTGGCAACAAGTGCCTTTACCTGCTGAGTCACTTCAAAGGCCCAACAAGGGTTAACTTTTGACACATAGATGCTTCTCCAGTTAAGAAGAAGGAAGATGGGTGCCCTTCTTTGGGTTAAAGAATGTGGCTGGGAGACTTGAATACTCAGTGTGTAAGAGCTCTTGCTGTGCAATGTGAAGACCTGAGTGTGAATCTCCAGCACCCACGTGAGAAGCTGGGCATGGCTACATGTGTCTGTAACCTCAGCCTTGGGGGCAGAGGTAAAGCAGATCTTGGCAGTTACTGGCCGGCCAGCCTAGCCAAAATGGTGAGCTCCCAGGCTAGTGAGAGACCTGGTCTCAAAGCACTGAGGTGGAGACTGGCAGAGGAAGTCACCTGATGTCCTGCTCTGTTCTCCACACGCCCCCGAGCACTTAGTGTGCATGTAGCACATAGACTCACATACACACATACAAGTGCACAGACACAGATGCACACTCACACACGGAATGATGCATCCGTAGTGCTAACTGTGGTGGGCATTGTGAATGTGGCGACACACGAGACTTGCTGTCTGAGGGGAGCCCGGAAGTTGAGTGGAAGTAGAGTGTTAGTTCTCACTGAGACTCCTCTGCCCCACTTGATACATGCTTGTTCTTTGGTTTAGGCTCTGTGACTTCTCAGGGCCTAGCTGTTCCTCTGCATTCCTTCTGCTCCACTCTCCATAGACTATAATTGGAGACTCATATTGTTTTTGTATTTTCTAGGAAATTTTTTTCTGCCTATGGATCTGGTCAGAAAGCTTTGGATTTGCTCAACCCAAACTTCAAGTCTACCTGTCAACGGTGAGTATTTCCCAGACCTGAAGAGATCAAGTTCCCATGAGGGTTCCAATGCTTTTTGTTTTTTGTTTTTGTTTTTTTTTTCTAAGAGAGGGCTTGGTTTGAGATAGGGTTTCTCTGTCGAGCCCTGGCTGTCCTAGAACTAGCTCTGTAGACTGGCCTTGAACTCACAGAGACCTGTCTGTCTCTGTCTCCCAAGTGTGAGAGGTATGCACCGTCACAGCCTGGCTCAGCTGTCATTTTGAGGAGTTGTGTGGAGCTTTCCTTCAGGAGGGGTGCTCCTCTAGGCAGCTTGCTACTGTGTAGCAGATGTCGGCACAGCCTCAACCAACACAGGCCTGGGGTGGGCTGCTTGGAATTGCAGGTTTGTGGAGAAGTACATGGAGCTGCAGGATCTCGGAGAGACAGATGAAGAAGAGTTATTTGTGAAGGCGGGGAAGGCTTTGCTGGCAGAAGGTGTCATTTTAAGACGAGTAAAAGAAGCAAGGACTGTGAGTACCTAATTGTCAAAGCTGTTGTTGGGCCGGGGGTGTAACTCAGCAGGAGCATGTGTGCTCACTTGCACTCTTGTGCAAGTGCGAGCATGTGCACACATTCGCGTGCACACTCCCACACACAAACCTCAGTTGGTGGTGCCTCTGTCAGTGAAAGGGGGTGGTTTGCTTCCTGAAACGTTGCCCTTAACTCCAGGTCGGATACTGTTGTGTTGAATAAACCGGGACTCTGTGACTTGCAACAAGTTGCTGTTAGGCTCTTGAGAGTGTGGTTCTAGAGATGTTGTGTACTTGCTGTCTATCCTAAGGAATCTGATGTGAGCTGTCATTGCTCAGTGCACACTGGCAGCATCTGAGAAACGTGCTCGTTCCTTGTAAGCAAGGTGATGGTAGTCACCTTCCCTCAAACCCTGACAGGTCGGCGTCAGACCCCAAGCTCCGTTGGAAGGAAAACAGCCTCAGGAAGATGTCCAGGAGCAGCCTGCACAGGAGCAGCAGGAGCCAGGGACGGCCACCCCTCCTCCCGGAGACCCTTCTGTGCACTGAGCATGCTCACCACCCGGGACACTGCTGAGCTGCTTGGACTCCCTTGGTCTCCATCTCAGGCATGTCTGCCTTCCCATAGTTGCTGTTTCTGGGTTGTCATACATCTCAGAACCGTGATCTGAAAGCGCCAGTTCTGTGAACTTCTATTCATGACACGGTTAAGTAAAGGGCTCTCTGCTTTCAAAGTCACCATCACCAGGGAACCTCTGCAGGCGCCTTGTGCTGGTGTGGACTGCCACATCTGAACCTCAACATTCTTCTCACCTGGGTCCCACAGAATTCTACTTGCCCACGTGGTGTGGTCCCTTGACGAAGTGTTTCCGTCTGCAGGTGGTGGTGTACTTTTTCTGTAGAACTATCGAGTGCAGCTCGAGAGGCCCAGCAGAGGCCCAGCCAGCTGCAGTAAGACCGAAGACCTGCCCGACGCGGACGAGGACCAAAACCATAAGTTGGACGTCATGAGTTACGTGTGCTGGAGATGATTAGCATGGGCTTGCAGCTCGTAGGCTGCTTAGAAAATCTTTGTTGGATGAATAAATGATCCCATCTTGTTAAAGACTGGTGTTTTTATTAGTAATCGGATTTCCAAGGTGGCAGGGGTGGGGCAGCTGATTCGGATGATCTTCTCCATGAACACCCTGCCCTCCTGGTCTGCTTCATCACACACTGCGTTACTAGTAAACAAGATGCTCCACGTGAGGGTAGTAGTTTTCATCTTGTAGTCAGTGGCAGCTTCAGATGGTCCTTATCTTTATTTTCTTTCCAAGACAGGGTTTCTCTGTGTAGATGTGGAGTCTGTCCTGGAACTCGCTCTGTAGACCAGGTTGGCCTTGAACTCACAGAGATCCGCCTGCCTCTGCTTCCAGAGTGCTGGGATTAAAGACATGAACCACCATTGCCCAGCCTGGGTTTTTAGTTTTTTTTTTTTGTTGTTTTTTTTGTTTTGTTTTGTTTTGTTTTTAATTCTGCCTCACCATCAGTGTGTGAGAATGCCTTTCTCCACTTGTTCTGATATTGAGAGTCGGCCTATGGAAGGCAGGGGACGTGGGATAGCGTCTGTGAAGGAGGCAGAGCTGCTGCCGTAGGGACTTGTGAGGTTAAGGACTGAAGTCCTGGTCTGTACAGAATCCTCCCTCAGGCTGCTCTGCTGTTTAGAGAGGATGGAACCCTCTTGCCTTAGGAAAGTCTGAAATGAGAAGACAGTGGCTTGGGAAGCAGTGAGGTGGACAGGAGCCCTTTTGAATTACGAAGAGACCTGCAGTAGAGGCTCAGTGAGAGGAGTTTGATCCCTATCATCCAAGTGAAAAGTAGAAGCCAGCCCACACATGCATTCCTAACCAGGAGACGGGTTGGTGGCTCCCAGGGTCCAGCTAGCCAGCCAGCTTAGCCTCCTTGCTGAGTTCCAGGCCAAATTACAGATCTGACTCAAAGACAGGTGGTGGCACCTGAGGAATGACACCTGAGGCTGATCTGGCCTCCACGTGTGCATGTGCACCCGTACTCACACAGACCTGCACGTGTGCCTGTGCACCCGTACTCACACAGACCTGCACGTGTGCATGTGCACCTGTACTCACACAGACCTGCACATATGCATGTGCACCTGTACTCACACAGACCTGCAGGTGTGCATGTGCACCTGTACTCACACAGACCTGCACATATGCATGTGCACCTGTACTCACACAGACCTGCAGGTGTGCATGTGCACCCGTACTCACACAGACCTGCAGGTGTGCATGTGTACCCGTACTCACACAGACCTGCAGGTGTGCATGTGCACCCGTACTCACACAGACCTGCAGGTGTGCATGTGCACCCGTACTCACACAGACCTGCAGGTGTGCATGTGTACCTGTACTCACACAGACCTGCAGGTGTGCATGTGCACCCGTACTCACACAGACCTGCAGGTGTGCATGTGCACCTGTACTCACACAGACCTGCACACAGACCTGCAGGTGTGCATGTGCACCCGTACTCACACAGACCTGCAGGTGTGCATGTGCACCCGTACTCACACAGACCTGCAGGTGTGCATGTGCACCCGTACTCACACAGACCTGCAGGTGTGCATGTGCACCTGTACTCACACAGACCTGCAGGTGTGCATGTGCACCTGTACTCACACAGACCCGGCCTACACGTGTGCATGTGCACCCGTACTCACACAGAAGGAGGCACAGTGGAGGTTGGGAGGGGAGTGGGGGGCTGGGAGTAGTCCTCTTTGGATTAGTCTTTGAATACTGCCTGAGGGAACCTGAAAGGTTCTATGCTGGACACGCCCACCCTCCACCCCCGGCCTTTAGAGATCAGGTTCTATTTCAAAAGGTGGCTCAGTTTGGAAATGTTATGGTTCAGACTGAGTATCAGCTTCCTCCTGAACCCCATAGGGATTGCCCTCCGGCACTTCACTGGGGTTTGCATGCCTGGCCTGCTGCCTGGGTCCCCACCCAACTTCCTGTGGCCTGCATTCAGCTACAAGCATTTCTTTCCTATTTAGAACAAACAAGGGCAGACATTTTCACTTTGTGGCCACTGAAGCATTGAACAGCGTCTCAGGAGCAGGCCCTCCCAAGAGCTCGAGCAGCCTGCAGGCGGAGGCAGGTGTCCGGGCCTCAGTGAAGTTTGCAGAAGACAAGCCTGAAGAGCTGGGTCCTTCTGGGTGGCCATTTGTACTGGTGTCACCTTGTGCCCATCACAGTCACCAGCTGACAAGGTCAAGCTTCGCCTGGACTTTTCGGTTCACGTTGTGAGGTGAGCTAAGATGGTTTTGAATGCACAGCTTGCTGGTTTTGCCATGAGAATGGGTGGGTATTTTGCATGAAGGGAAACGAGTTTGAACAGACAGGGTGGGATAGGGCTATGATGACCTTGGCAGCCACACAGAGGGGGTTAGGTTGGGTAGGAAGGCGAGTTGGGAAGCTATGTTGTCATGAAAGCAGCATCAGCTTAACAGAAAGCTTGCCCAGGACTTGGGGGCGAGAGATGGGGAGAAGGGAGGGAAGCTAGCTAGTCCCAGTTACAGATGTGAGTGACCAGGAGACTGGCAGTGTCCTGAAGAGGGGGCCAGTGGGGACGGAAGTGGCACTCTGAGGGAACAGGGCTTTAATTCTGCTTGGGCGGAGGCTATAGCCCAGTGCCCAGGTGGCAGGGATAGGGGTACTTAGGAAACGGACAAAGTCGCTAGCACAGGAATAAGGTTCAGAGGCGGAGAATGAACGAACTACTGGTGGCGGCGGCGGCGGTGGCAGGGCACACGACACCACACAACATAACACGACACCACACAACACCACACGACACAGCACTGGTGGGATCTGGCCAGGGAAGTGTTCTCAGTTAAGGACAGGAAGGAGAAAGGCAACAACAAAAGTTCAGCCAGGGACTGAGGAGAGAGCCAAGTCGGTGAATGCCCTCACCTCTACACAGTCTGCACACATACCCCTGCACATGAGCACACAGCATGCAAGAAACTGAAGGCAGGTCTATCTAATCCATCACTTAGGAGCTGAGGCAGGTGGATTGCTGAAAGTTTGAGCCAGTCTGGTCTTTTTTTTTTTTTTTTTTTTTTTTTTTAAACCACAGCCGTTAAAGCGGGTTGATAAAGTTTTCCCTGAGCTACTACTGGTGCCTGCCTAGCTCCAGAGGACCCAGATGCGGCCCACTGGGAGTCCTTGGGCCTTGTCCATTCTCTTTAGATGTGCTGTGGCCACGCCTGACAGGACACTGGGCTGGGCGGGCACTTTTCCCGAGTCTGTCCTGGCGTGAGGGCATCTGGCACGATGAGGCCCGGAGAGCAGAGAGCAGCTGCTCTGCCTCAGCCAGAGGTGGTTGAGTGAGGGCGGGGCAGGGAGGCGGGAGCTTTCACTTTCTTCATGCTCGGTGCCCTTGAGGTCTGTTCCAGAGGTGGGGCAGGCCCCAGCATCTCCTGCATCACTGCCGGATGGGCTGTGGGCTGCCAGGGTTTCAGTGAGCCACTCGGTGGAGGTCACCTTGCCTGGCAGAGGAAGGGCAGTTGCCCTCCTGTGGAAAAGACAAGAAATGGCTTCCATGTCACTGTCCTAGGGTAGTGCTCAGTGTGGCATGCTGGCCTCTGATTGGATGAGCCGAGCTCCCAAGCAGTCTCTGTGGAGATGGTGCCGGGTGGCCGGCTATTGCTGAGGCGCAGTGGAAGGTTGCTAGGGGCGGGGAAAGGAGACAGAGTGAGGTGTCATGTCCCCTGCACACGTTACCATCGACTGCCATCGCTTCCCTCCGCCGGCGACTGCAGAGGGAGTTTTTGTTGTTGTTTTCGAATTGCTAAACTGACAATCACATGGCATTTCAAGCTTAATTTTGCCCTTGATTGACGCCTTTCCCCAGACTCGAACTTAAACATCAGTCACCTGACCTTCTCACTGCTCGCTTCTTTTAATTAAAAGATGGTTTCAAGCAACAACGAGTAGGGGTCCATTTATTATTTATCAAGCACTTGCCTTCCAGCAGTTAGTGAAAGGTCACTGGCTTCAGCGGATGCTTTGTTTTTGGTGAGCAGCTTAGATGAAAAAGAAAGACCGTCAATCTCGGCTCCCTCCTGTTTGCTTACTGGCAGGACACTGTTTAATAGTCATTGTGGCATTTAGGATCGCAGGCCTCGGAATCATGCAGAAAAGTGCATGTGTGTCCCTTGCCAGAACACGTCTCCAAAAGTAAACATCAGGTTGTGATTATGGTTAATAATGAGATATTGATTGTCTGAAAATGTCACCGCCTGGGAGCAGTGAGCTGCAGCACCACCAGATGGCGCTGCACTCTCGCACTGTTCAACTAGAAAGATCACTTTATTTCCTTGCCTCCGGGTACCTTGTCTTTCAAGGTTGGCAAGTGTCCTTGTGAAATAACGTTCTGGCGGAGGTTTGGGACGCTGAGGTCCTGGGGTGTTATTGGGATGGAGTAGAGATGGGAGGGAACAGGCCACGGGACAAACAACAGAGGCCTGAGGGTGTATGTGAGTGTATACAGGACAGGGTGTGCGTCATTTTTATAGGAGCCTGAGAAGAAGGAGCTAGCGGTGCGGGGCCCTGGAGGAAATGAGCCTTAGGTTAATGCAGACAAGAAACAACATGGAATCGTGATGCCCCCACCAGCCATTTGTTTAAGCCCTTGGCTCTATCAGTCCTGAACCTCCACAGTTACCTCCTCTTTTGTTTGGTTTTCTAAGACAAGGGTCTCGGCTGAGCGTGGTGGCACACATCTTTAATCCCAAGCAGATCTCTGAGGCAGCCTTGCCTACACAGTGAGTTCCAGGACAGCCAGGGCTACGAAGAGAAAACCCTGTTTTGAAAAACAAAACAAAACAAAACCCAAAAAACAAAAACCCAAGGATCTCACTATGTAGTCCTGGCTCCCATACTTGGCTGTTACCATCTCTTTCCAGGACCATATTCATGAATAAATAAACGGTACACTTTTAAGTAAAAAGAAAAAAAGGAATCTGAAAAGTATCTTAGGAGGGTCTCTACTCTTGGAATTTACCCAGTGGTGGGTGGTAGGTTTCATTAAAAACAAACAAGAAATTTATTTTTATTTAGTTACTTCTGGTGGGGCAGGGAGAAGAAGAAGGAGAGGGAAGGGAAGGTAGGGGCAGGAGAGAGAGAGCAATAGGCCAGGTTGGCCTTGAACTCACCATGTAGCTGAGGTTGACCTTGAACTCACAATAACTCCTGCTTCTACCTCCCAAACTGACATGCCTGGCTTGTCTCAGAGTCAGTGGCTCTCCTCTGTGTCTTGTCAGCCCTCCTCATTGGGTACACTCGGGAGAGGTGACAGGGGAGGGCTCTCACCTCCTTCCTCTGTTGTCTAAGCAAAACAACTGGATTCCAAGCCTGATGCTCATGGCTTTGAGCATGTCCCTTAGCCATTTTGAGCCACATCCAACCCCAGCACAGAATTTAGAACCTAACAGACACTTGAAAGGATATGAGTCTCTGCCATTGATTCCAGCACTTGGGAAGCAGAGGCAGTTGGATCTCTGGGAGTTCGAGGCCAGCCTGGTCTACAGAGTGGAGTTCCAGGACAGCCAGGATTATTACACAGAGAAACCCTGTCTCAAAAAACAAAACAACAACAAAAAAAAGTACCTGTGTCAAGTGGATGAACCAATGAACGGCTCCCCATCCTCCTGAGCTTGGAGATGGCAAGGTCAACACTAAGTTCATTTTGAAGTACCCAAGTGGAACTAGATGCTGTCTGCAGTCAAACTTTGTAAACACTCACGCTTCCTGCAACTGCAGAAACAGATGCAAGCAAGGTGCAGAGCCGCACACAGAGCAGCTGTACCCCCAGGGCTGACGAGTGGGAGCGTTCAGCCTGCTGAAGAATTCCCAGGGAGAGGCTGGCTGCTCAGACCCTCTCAGGGTGCTTGGTTTAAACCCCAAGATGCTTCTGTATTCTCTCTTGAATGTTAACTGCCTCCTTAGGAGACCCCTGGGGCTTCACCACCAGCCACCCTGGGCTCTACTGAGTGAGGCCTTTCCATCCTGGCAGCCTGGATGCTGCTCGCCCACGTGGAGTGGATGTCTCCAGTGCCAGGGCTGTAGCTGCCAGCCTGGCCTCTGTGTTCTGTGCCAGTACCAGGTCCTTGGTGGAGGGTTGAGCAGGACCAGGAGTTTGGGGGAGAGTCTTACCCATGGTTAGCTTGTCTCACCCTGGGCAATGCATCAGGGTGTGCCGCCTCCCACCTGACTTAGGGATGTCTGAGATGCCGCTGCTGAATTCTCTGTTGATGCTGAGTCTGTGACCAGCATCTCAGGATGCTGGGGCATGCTCCTGCTTTGCAAACTATTTCTGTATCCCGAGGAAATGTCACTATCCATCTTTTCTTTCACAGAGACCAGTGAGAGAATGCTCGGTCACATCTTAGTTCAAGGAAAACTGGTGCTGCTTCTGAACAAGGGGGAAGATTTATTTGTTATGGTTTTGGTAAATCTGGTGTCTTAGTTACCCAGTTAGCTTCGAGTGTTAAATTCAGTTAATCTACATTTAGGCATAGCTCTGGTGTAATATCCTCAAGCACACAAGAAGAGCGAAGAGTATATAAGCACAACCACATACTTGTGAACACTAGAGGGCTCAAGTTCAGTCCCCATCTCCCATGTTGGACTTCTCACAACTGCTTATAACTCCGTCTTAGGGGATCTGATGTCCTCTTTTGGCCTCCTCTGGCACTGGCACAGACTTGGCATTCACACACACACACAGACACATGCACATAAATAGAAATAAAAATAAAAAATCTGGTGTGGTGGTATACCCCTTTATTCCCAGCACTTGGGAGGCTGAAGCAGGTGGATCTTTGTGAGTTTGAGACCAGCCTGGTCTACCTAGCAAATTCTAGGACAGATAGAGCTACACAGAGAGACCTGGTCTCAAAAAATAAGTAGAGGCTGGAGAGATGGCTCAGTGGCTAAAAAGCACTGGCTGCTCTTCCTGAAGCCCTGAGTTCAATTCCCAGCCCCGACATGGAAGCGCACAACCATTTATAACTATGGTCTCATGTAATTCTCACGGAATCTGATACCCTCTTCTGGTATGCAGATGTACACGCAGACAAAACATCCATGGACGTAAAATACATAAACAAATAAATCTTAAAAAACAAAACAGAACAAAATAAACCTCTATGAAGTGGGTTACTCTTCTCACATGCACAGCTCCTTCTTGGTGTGGAGGTTGCTGTCTAGGATGCTGCAAGGACCATTCCTGTGTCCGTTTCTTTGTGCATTTACAGGAAAACTGAGCCAGGACTCACCTCTTTAGTGAGACTGCTGGACTGGGCAGCCCATCCTTAGCGTTATGAGCAAGGGGATTAGTTCTCCTGCGTGACTGCCAAGGATGTGAGGGCCTGGGGTCCTCACCCACTTCTCCCCACGTCACACGCTACTTTTGCTTAAATCTTGTTTAACCTTTCATCTGCTTTACACCGATGTCCCAATGCCTCCATTTTCATCATACTATGTATTTCTGTAAACACCCATTTCTCCACTTCCTCCCCTATTTCATTTGAGCAAAAGATGCACATAAATAAATTTTTACCAAGGCTCCTTAGAACGAAGAATATGATATAGAGAGGTAAGCCTGCAGACTTTGAATCCTTCAGAATTAAGATAGTCACCACAGAACTAACCCTGGTGAAGTGCTTTTTTTCTACCTCTGGTGTGGTGCTAGGGCTCGAACCCAGATCCTCTGGTGTGGTAGGCCAGTGTTCTACCCAACTGTGCATCCTGTGAGCATGCCAGAGTGCTTTCTGTAGACCAGCGACTCTGCACGCTGTCTTATTCAGGTTTACAGTGTCTCCATGACGCTACACTCAGCACTTGACTCAAGTGAGGCGGTCTCACGCCAGTCTCTGCTTAAGACAATTCTGTGTGGAGGGTGTCCTGGTGATGTGTCCTGGTGATGTGCTTGCCACCAAGCCTGGCAGTCTGAGCTTGACCCAGAGCCCACAAGGTGAAAGGAGAGGACTGACTCCTGAAAGTTTTTCCTCTGACCTCCACATGCGCATCACAGCCCATACTAAATGATAAATGATTTTTAACAATGATTGTGTGAGCCGGGCGGTGGTGGTGCACGCCTTTAATCCCAGCACTCAGGAGGCAGAGAACTCTATGAGTTCAAGGCCAGCCTGGTCTACAGCGTGTGTTCCAGGACAGGCTCCAAAGCTACACAGAGAAACCCTGTCTTGAAAAGCCAAAAAAATAAAAATTAAAAAAAAAATAAAAAATAAGACCCAATTGTGTATGTATGTGTATTATGATGTGTGTGTTTGTGTGTCTATGGTATGTGTGTGTTTATGTGCTATGGGGTGTGTGTGCCTGTGTTGTGTGTATGTGTGTGTGTGTGTGTCTATGATGTATGTGTGTGTCTGTGGTGTGTGTGTCTTTGAGAGGTGTGTGTGTATGTGTTCGTGTGTTTGTGTGTCTTTGAGGGGTATGTGTGTGTGTGTGTCTTTGAGGGGTATGTGTATGTGTTCGTGTGTGTGTGTGTGTGTGTGTGTCTTTGAGAGGTGTGTGTATGTGTATGTGTTCGTGTGTGTGTGTGTGTGTGTGTGTGTCTTTGAGAGGTGTGTGTATGTGTATGTGTTCGTGTGTGTGTGTGTGTGTTTTGAGGGGTGTGTGTGTCTTTGAGAGGTGTGTGTGTGTGTGTCTTTGAGGGGTATGTGTGTGTACATGTACACGGTGGATGTCAATCTTGGCTGTCATTCTTCAGGAGCTGCTCACCTTGTTTTTTAGACGGGTTTCTCACTCAGCCCAAGGCTCACTTATTGGGCCAAGCTGGTCCCTCAGATCCTCCTGTCTCCACATCCCTAGAGGTGGAGGAGAAGCATGTGCCACATGCTCAGCGTGTCTCATGATAAGAGGATGATAGACTCAGATCCTCATGCTTACACAACTAACAGACTGAGCCAGCTCTCCAGCCCCGCAGTCTATGATTTTAACAGAGGGTATTCCTGTTGGGTGGCCCAGGTTGTAGCTTTCACAGTGCTGGGTGGTGGTGAGGGATCCTTGGCATGGACTGCAGAGTGGATGACACTCTTTAGGATCAGGGCATGCAGTGTCCCTGGCCTCCTAGGGAGAGAGAATGTTTAGACATGGCCCAGATGAACCCACTAGACAGGAGGGGCCTTCCCGCTTAGGCTCATGATTTCTCAAGTTTTGAAAGTCCATTGGCAAGAGAGACTTCCCGTCTGTATAAACATTGCTTCAGAAAGGGAGAGCCCAGTGTGGGCCCACACTCTCGACACCAGCGATGTCAGGACACGGAGTGGGCTGCTGCCCGTCACTTCCTCCCTGGCCACCGCAGACTTATTGAGCAATATATTACGAGTGCGCCTCACTCTGATGATGTGTTATGGATAAATCATTAAGGAGGCAGCCCACCGCAGTGATGTATTGGTGTAATAGATCATCAGACTGAAGCCTGCTCCCGACATACGGGCTGGCTCAAAGGGTGGTGTCATTCAGGGAAGAATTAACCCAGCAGCCAAGCTGGCTTAATTACAGGATAAAAGGTTCATGAAGGCTAGGCTGAAGTCTACCCCACCAGCATTTTGATTCTTGATGTAAAAATATAATTGGGTTTCCTGAGAGAACTTGTGATTATTTTCAAACAGCCTTCTGCTTTATCACAACAGCACAACTTGCCGTTTGACTGCAGGGGTGCTTTCTATGGAAGGTAGGGGGATGGGTTTGGGGGTGTCTTTGGGCCTCGCTTTGGGCCCTCTGAATTATTTTCCTTTCTAATTGTAGGCCACAGAATGAGTTATGGGAGATAACATCCAGGAGGTCTGTCTTCCAGGCCTTCAAAATAATGACCATTGGAATTGAATGACTCATCCAGCTCAACACTACCCAAGGCAGTGAATCTCAACTAGTCAAGGTTGTCCAAAAGTGTGCTCATGAGGGCGAGGGGGCTTCCCTCCGTATCTGAGGACGTAATTGTTGTAGCTACTGTCCCATAACAGTACACAGGTACCTAACATCATGCTGAAAGCTTTCCATATATTGTTGAATCGAATTTAACTGACACCACACTGGGAGACAGGTATTACTAACTACTGTTATTCTCAGTTGCCAGAATCAGCCCAGAGCTGGCCTTCTGGCTCCAACCTGGCGTAAACCAGGAGTGGTGGTGCACACTTGTGATTCTACATGTAGGGAGTAGAAGCAGGAGGACCAGAAGTTCAGGTTCATCCTTGGCTACAGTGGATTTTGAGGACAGGCTAAGCTACATGAGAACCTGTCTCAACAACAAAGATAAGTGGGAAAGTAGTGCTTTTCAGAAATAGGGTCTCCCTGGAGAGATGGCTCAGAGGTTAAGAAGCAGGTTCTCCCGACAGGTGTTGGTGGTGCACGCTTTTAATCCCAGCACTCCGGAGGCAGAGGAAGGTAGATCTCTGTGAGTTCGAGGCCAGCCTGGTCTACAGAGCGAGTTCCAGGACAGGCTCCAAGGCTACACAGAGAAACCCTGTCTCAAAAAACAACAACAACAAAAGAAACAGGTTCCCTCATTCTACAGACCAGGCTGGCCTTGAACTCACAGAGATCCTCCTGCATGGGAACTTTAATTTTGTCTCAAGACACATTGACCAAACACTAGGGGCTCCTAGGTACCTAATAAGACTCCCAGTTTTAGTTCAGTGATTGTTACAGTTTGACACCATAGTTAAATAAGAACTCAGTCTTTATTGTTTATTTAAATATTGTCTTTATCATTTATTTATGTGTGTGTACATGCTCATGTGGGTGCCCACGAACCAGGAAAGAGCTGGATACGATTATCCCCTGGAGCTGTAGGCAAACTCCCACCCTCTGGAAGGGCAACAAGTGCTTTTATCTGCTGATCCATCTCTCCAGCCCCCGTTTATTTACTTTTTAAGACAAGCTCTCACATAGCTTACACTGTCCTTGGGGTCACTATGTAGCTGAGGTTGACCTTGAACTCATGATAACTCCTGTCTTCTGAAGTTCTAGAGTTATAGGTGTGACCTGCTATGCATGACTTGTTTTGTATTTTCAAAAAGGGTCCCACACTGTGGCTAGGGATATTCCAAAATTCACTACATGCTAAAGCCCATCTGACTTCAAATTCCTATTGATCCTTGTGCCTCCATCTCCTCAGGGCTGGGGTTACAGGCATGTACCACCTCCCCCTACAAGGACACAGACTATGTTCACCAGGTCGGATTGGGGTTCCAGCGTTTTGTAATCATGGAAAGAAGACTTAGCTTCTGCATGCCTCGCTTTGCTGGGATTTCGGTTATGTGCCACCGTGCCCATACAGGGACAGGAATAAGACCGAGGGTTTTATTCATGCTGCACACGCACTCTATCAACTGAGGGAGCCCCTAGCTCCAAATGCTAGGTTCTTAGTGTCCAGGCTCCACTGATCCTTGCAGCCTCTCAAAGCAGGAGCAGAGCTGGACCATCCCACAGAGGATGCAAAGCCGTGAAACTCACTTCGTAGACCAGGCTGGCCTCAGACTTACAGAGATCCTCATTCCTCTGCCTTCAGAGTGCCGGGATTAAAAGTATACACCACCATGCCTGGCTCCTTTATTTTTGAAACACGGCTATCACACAGAGCAACCCTGGTCTAAAAGAAAAACAACAACAACAAAACCACATGAGGGTTTTAGAACCATCCTAAAGCTTGGTGTGCCAGCACACGCTGACAATTCAATGCTCTCATGATGAGATAGAAGATAGAGACAGAATTCCCGGAAGTTCCAGGGCCAGCTAGCCTGGAACAAGCAACAGGTGCAAACAGCAAGGGACTGTGTCTCAAATAAGGCAACAAGCAAGGACCTCTACCGAGGTTGTCCTCTGACCTCACATGCTTGCTGAGGCACATGTACACACACACCCATATACACGAATGTACACACATGCAGGCACCCAGAGTTTTTGTTTGTTTCTTTTAGAGAAGAAGAGTTATAGAGATGACTGAGTGGATCCAGGTTTGGTTTCTACTACCCTTGTGGTGGCTCACAGCTGTCTGTAACCCCAGTTCCAGGGGTTTGACATCCTCCTCTTCCAGACTTGGCAGGCAGGAGGCACAGACAAACATGCTGGCAAAATATGTGTACAAATAAAATACTTTCAAAAGCATAAGAACTTAGCATTCTGTCAACACATGAGACATGTCACTGTGACCACAGCTTCTTGGGACAGCATGACTGCATCCAGGTGAAACTGGCATTTGTATTTTGCTGGTTTTCAAATTTAAGGTTATGCAAAATGATGTTTCCTGTTTGTAGTTGGTCAGAAAGATGGCTCAGTGGGCAGAGGTGCTTGCTGCCAAGCCTGAGAAACTGAATTTGGTCCTGGAGACCTACATGGTTTCAAACGACAGAGCTGACTCCCACA